ATGTTTGTTTAACTTATCACGAGATGAAACAAACTTTGCTCGAAAAATAAGCTAACATAAAAATTTCTAAATTATTTCAAACCCTTCAGGCGACCGAATTACGGAATCTGGTCATGTCGCGAAACATTGCAAATTCTGTATACTTTTCATGCAAATCTGTGATAGAATCAGACATTTACCGTGTGGGTGTACTACTTGGCCCTGAGTTATTCGAAATTATTCGAAACTGTTGCATGCAGTTTTCCGTCTGCTACACCACATTGCAACAACTGATAAAACGCACTTCCATTATGTGTGGTTCGCTCAGTCGTTTCAATAGCCTCGGTTGAGCCTAAATTGGAGCTTTGACGAAGAGTTGAATGGTTATTTACCATCTAATGCAGCGCTGCCCAACGTGCGGCCCGCGGGCCGGATGTGGTCTCTAGATCTCAGTAATGGCATCATTCTAATCCAATTGTTTTCATCATTATGAATTTGCAGCTAGAAACATGTTCATCGCAAATAGATACAGCCATTTAAACATCAAGTATTGAAAGGTCGGGCAAACCTGATCTAATGCGTCCACAGAGCAGGAGTTGGCTCTCGCGGAACCGATGCAAGCTAGCGGGCTAATCCAAATCAATTCATTCGTTAATTTGAATGGTAGGCTTCTAGACTTAGCTTTCATCAGCGCACCGGATGTTGTCGAGCTGTTGGAACCCTCGGTCCCCTCACTGGATATCGATCATCATCACAGGCTATTTATTTTAAAAATTGGCGCTCACTGCAGAGCGCCCGGAGTAACTGGCCAACAACCTGAAATGAATTTAAAACTTTGTGATTTTGAATCGTTGAACAGCAAACTGTCTTCTATAAACTGGACACAACTACTGGAAGGTGATTCTGTCGATGATGTTGCAGACCTTTTCTACAATAAACTATACGAAACTCTCTATAAGCGAGTTCCTCTCAGACGGCGTTCAATGAAACCTACATCAGTCCAACCCTGATGGCCACTGAGCTATGCAATTTGTGAAACGTTCTGCGTATGGCTCGTAAACGTTTTCCAACACTAGAACCAATGAAATCAAACAAAATCCTCAAGAATCGCAGACGGCATAATTTTTTGAAACGCTCTGTAGCATATACCCACCAATGTGGTATATTTGGTTTCGCTCCGAGCTGTCGAAAATTGAGTCTTCAAATACTTCGTTGAAATATTCGACTTCCAGGATATCATCCACGTCTCGAGATTCAGTGGAACTCCCAGGGGAAGTGCCGGGTGCTGATGGGTTTAGTACATGTAAGTTACGAATTGTTCCGCTGAAATCCTGCAGCCATTGCCGCTCATCATGCTCATATGACGACCCTGGAATATCTGCCATAGACTGCAAAACTGTTTAAATTGCAGTAATGAGAAAATATTCTCCACGCAGTTCTGCGTAAATCTGGCTGTATTTACTGCCGGGTAGTGCTCACTAAACAAGAAAAATGCTGAAACCGGAGAATGGAGTTGGTGCATAATATGAAAGCAGCCTGCCATGGTTTCCAACGTTTTTTGATCCCGATATGACAGCTGAAAATGAATGTGCAATACGTTCGTAAAAACGATATATTTTGTCTATAAACGTCCAGTTTCTGCAAGCTCAGAGCTAATTTAAATTGACGAGAGGTCATCAATTTGAACCAACGCCACACATTTTCGATTCACAGTGCTGCAGTAAGAAGTTCCTATCCGTTTCTGCACTCATGAAACACAACGCTGCTGCCACATCGTGGTTTACAAGCTTATATGAGTTGGCCACCTTCATGGCATCTAACTTTTTGTTTATTAATTTATTTGATAAGGCTCAACCGAATTAACTTTACAGAGCCGAGGATTCTTGGTCACTATACAATACATCTTAAAACTATAGTCAAAAGGTACAACACAATAAACACTTTATCTTCCGCTATCCAAAAAGCCTCCTCCATCAGAACTGGAGCCGCTTCCAGTAGTTTCATTGTATGGCAAATTGTTGTACGCCAACGAGGGTCAGAAACGCGTCCATTGCTGCAAAACGTGGTCAGCACTCACACACTCATCACGAAACGGTTGCTTTCCAAAGTCGACGACGCATCGACCGAAAGAACTGCTGATGAAGAACAATGAGGAGGACCACACAATGGTTGCTACACATCGAGAGTGGCCTGCTTTTGTCGACAGCCGAGTGAACACTGATGGCATCTAACTTGTTACCATTGAGGAAGTCCAAGATCGGAAATGACAGGTGGGCAGGAACTCACGGTCTCCCAGTGTTGGTGAGTTCTTTGCCGTTAATGTTCACGAAAAGTTTAAGTAAACAAACTAACACTTTTTCCGACTGTGGCACCTCTCTTACTCGCCTGGGAGGAAGTCGACCTCCTTGAATGTTAAACGGGATGCCATTTTCAATCCTTTCCCTTTCTCGAACTGAACTAAGTCCTTCAGGTGATACATTTCAGCAACATTTGTGGTAAGACCGTTTTCGTCCACCACGTTTTGAGGTAGGTAAACAAACCTATTTTTCACCAACTTTGAACGCAGGTTTTGAAAACGTGGGTTGCATCCGGTATGATTTCGAAATCGTCATTGATTCTGGTAGGGTGTTTCGGTGCAGTACTTTTCAATACTTTGTCCTTCGAATGGCTTAGTTCAAATTCGTTCCACATTTTAACGTTATTAGGTCCACAGTCAGACGTGGTGAAACGTACTCTGAATCCTAGTTCTTCCGCTCTGGTGACAATATCTACTATCATCCTTTTTAGAAACCCGTTCGGGATGGAATTTCCTGTGAAGTAGCATGCCACTACTTGCTTCCATCTACTAACATAAAAAATAGCCCATGTGCAGCCCTTTCACTCTGCCCACGAACAGTGACGTCACCGAAGTGTTTTTGTTGTTACAGCAAAACGAAAGAGTTTGATCAATGGACCTTTCGGGGGTTATTACGGATGTCACTTCACGGTGAAAACTTGTCACTTGTCGTCACGGTGAAGTGACTACCATTTGATTTGTACGGTAATCACGGCTCTTATTCTGAGTATCCAGTACTAATCCACAATCCTTTTTGGCTCCAGAAATACATTGAACTTTCTTCTCCAGCAGCGTGAAAACTTTGTGAAGGATCCCAGTATCAAAATGCAAATTTTGAAGATGCTCTTGTTGAGTGCGGATCGAAGGATAGGGATACTTTTTCTTCTCACGAAGTAATTTATAACCTTTCGCTCCGCAGGCAAAACGAATCTAGAAGGTTTCCGTTATTGTTTGTTCCGACCACTTTTTAACTCGACGAATGCCACCTTCCATGCTCCGGGTTGAAAGGTGTTTACGCTGCTTTCCTTGTACTGCTGGTGCGGTTCTGATTGGCACGGCGTAGATTTTGCCGATCACTTTTGAGCATTTTATCCTTCAGAACAGTTCTGTGGCGAAATTTCTGAATAGTTCGGATTAGTCTAAGAAATTAAAATAAAAGAAAATCGATCTACACTTCATGTACGGTTCAATTTTATGATCATACCTTGGCTTTTTACATTTTACTAGCCGTTCTGACGATTCCAATCGCTCGAATCCGCAGTAATCGTAGTTTCAACCGAGCTGCTCGGAAGCAATTGTTGCTGATCCCAGACTGTCGCACATGGACCTTCACCGGGATCTTCGATGGCAACAGAAACCTATGAACGTAATCAACAATATTTTGTAAATCAAAAATCAAGTCAAGCTTATAATTATCATTACCTCTTCATAAATTTCACTTCCTGTCCGTTCGTTCAAATTCGCGACATTTAGAATAAATGGAACCTCACCCGGAGCTGCCAATAACTTTCTGATATCCGATGCCATGTATAAATCGGTTTCGTAATTAAAATGTAGCTGAAATATTATAAACCTGTTAACCAACTTTCATCTAAACAATTTGATTATCAATATGGTAGATTACTTATAATATACGCGAGAATTTTCTGTTACGCTTTGTTAGAGGGGAAGCCGACAGAATTAAATCCACTTTTCCCTGATAACGCTGTCTTTGAGAAACCGGAAGAAACTGACATGTTTTAACGTTTTATTCGGTTTGTTAATGCAGAAGGAAGCCGTGCTTTTCAATGGCATTTTTCAATGGATCACATCATTCGAGCAGTTTAAAATGACGTTTCCTACCACTCGAACTTTAACGTGGAACAATATTTTAATATTTTTTCTTCTACAACCTCGAGAAAATAGGGTCTTATTTGTAAAATTCTTGAAAAATCTGGAATTGATTGTTTCATTTCCGTAAAATCACTGGTAGAAGGTCGTCCCAAAACTGCTCGACAATATGATTAATTTACCACTACCGATGTGGTTCGACAAGAATTCGTTTTGTCGAGACGCTGAAGCAAAACGGCAGTCGCTCAAATTAAAAGTCACTCGAAGTAAACACAAATATGCGGGTTGCCAAACCTTGCAGACAAAATATCATAATTGGCCGTGCAACCAAATTTACTTGGTTTTTCTCCGCGCGTCTCTTTATATCGTCTCTGGCTAAAACATTCTCTAGCTCATATTTGTCACCAGTGATGGACTGTAGTAGGTGTCGTCGATAATGGATTTCCGACTATTGGTGCAATGTGGCAGTTCCTTGACTGGTGCCCTAATCCCATGCACTTAAAGTGTCTCTCCAATGACCATGACTGTCTCCAAAAGCTCGTTAGCTGTGGTGGCCGTCGAAAGTCGTCTGCGTGCCAACATTCAGCTCGAATTGCACCTTCAGCGCGTCTCTAAGCTCGTCTTCCGTCATGATGTCATCTAGATGACTCCCATTGCACGCGATCGCATCGAAAAAAATCCTACCTTCCTAACGTACCTGCGAACACTTAAGAATATGAGGATTAAAATGGGATTTTCTCATGATTCTAAATATGTTGATTCCAAGACCTTTTTTAGGTCGGCAATTGACCATAAAATTAAATATCATTTAAAAAAAACTTTCCTTCGATTTTCAGATTCATTTTTCCAGTTTTATTTCATCCATAAATATAGATTCATTAATTTTTACCTTATATAGCTACCATAAACACCGTCTGACTAGTAACAGTATATTATTTCCTCACACAAACAATCTACCGCAACCCCACAAGCAGATGATGTCCATCCCTGTTGATGTTCGTAGCAATCAGAACGGATAGAAAAAAAAATCAAAAACAATGCGCACATGTCGCGCTCGTTAAACCAAAACTGTATAATCAATATCAAAATTCCTCCTTAGATGTTTTGATTTAGACTACACCACGGTTCATTGGTCGATGCTACTTCCAGCTTAATACCATCGACCATAGTGTACCAGTCAGCTGCGAAATGCGCACGATTTAATACTGCCGGATGACATCGTTCAGCTGATGCCGATCAAGAGTTCCACGTTTGAACCTAACATCGTCATTGGCAACACTGTCCACCAAAGGGCTAGGGTCGTAGAGTAAAGCCGTTCCATCGTTCACATCTTCCGACATCTCCCGCAGAAGATCTTTATTGCGGTTCACTATGGCATTCGCTAATCGGACATCACATGGAGACTTTAAGAAACGCTGAATCAGCAATCTACACCTGTTGGAAGAAAATCACGTTGGTGAGTTAGTTGAATTGATGTTTTAAGAAGCAACCGTACTCTTCATCAGGTTTTTCCATTCCAGTGAGGTGAGACAACAAGGCACGGTTCGAACCGGCTGGGTCTGCGGAAGATCGTTTTCCATTAGTCCACCCACGAGAATACTGGAACGTTTGAGCATCGGTAAAGATGACAAGCAGCGAAACTATAACCGACGTGGAGAGGATGTGTTTCATTGTAGCTCTGAAATATAATGTTCATATTTAGAGATTAGTGTTGCTTCCTTTAAGTCTTCTTTTTCTTTGCATTTCTAGCTTATTGCTTATCACATATTAGCTTATTTCGTGCTCTCAACTTAGTGTTCTAGATGCACTTTCATAGTTATTAATCGAGAGTTTTCGATGCCTGCACACAGATAAAAATTCTGAATTTTAATTGTGATATAAACATTCATTCACGTAGACTTGTATTTCATTTCACGCAACCGAGCAACTTGCAAACAATGTTGTTTACAAAGATGGGCTTTTGTGTACAATATTTGCTACATTGCATGAAATGTGTCAGAACTTTACATGATATATAATGTGAACGTATATGATATGTAACGCTCCATTTATGTGCAGCATATTGAACAGAAATGTACACTACTTTTTCGAACTGTGTGTACCATCTTTGCATTAGTATAATTTTGTGGCAAGTACAATCATACTCTATGTCCAGGGAAGTCAACCGTTTTTTGATGTAGGACTACGTCTGTGATTTCTATATGGGGGTACACCTTGCGAACAAAATTATGAAAGATTTTGAACGTTAATAATTCAGCTGCCCATCCACATCCACACATCAACATACTACAAGTGAGGAGTCGAGATTCGAACGCCTTTGGATACGGTTGTGTATTGTTATCTGTTTTGTGCGTGCATTCGCTTTCATTTTTTTTTTTTTTTTTTTTTTTTAACTCTTTATTTGTTCCAAATTCAAAATAAATTACATTTCATTTTTAACCTAGGTGCTCCAGTTACTACAGTAACTTACCAGCCTTAATTGTTATGATATATATCTAAGTGTTTTTACATTGTTCCTGTCTTGGCAATTCAGTATTTTAAACAGGTTTTTTTTTAACCTGCATGTCAGTATAACAATTGATAGCTTAAAACTAAATAACTAAAACTAAATCTTATCTAAGTATAAAGGGAATTAATCGTTGCAATTGAGGATTGTAACGATTTTTGCCGGAAATTATTAATTATTTTGTTGGACATTTGTGCTAAAGTCTCAACATTCGAAATTCTATGTACTTCGGTAGTACTGTACCAGGGAGGCAACTTCAAAATCATCTTCAGAATTTTGTTCTGAATCCTTTGAAGTGCTTTTTTCCTGGTAGTGCAACAACTAGACCATATTGGTACAGCGTAAAGCATGGCCGGTCTAAAAACTTGTTTAAATATTAGAAGTTTATTCGTCAGGCAAAGTTTGGATTTCCTGTTAATAAGAGGATACAAACATTTTATATATTTGTTACATTTGGCTTGAATGCCCTCAATGTGATCTTTAAAAGTTAATTTATGGTCAAGTATTAATCCAAGATATTTCACTTGGTTTGACCAGGAAATTGGAACTCCGTTCATAGTGACTATGTGACTACTACTAGGTTTCAAAAAGGAAGCTCTAGGCTTGTGTGGAAATATTATAAGTTGAGTTTTGGAAGCGTTGGGAGAAATCTTCCATTTTTGTAAATAAGAAGAGAAAATATCTAAACTTTTCTGAAGTCTGCTGCAAATAACACGAATACTTCTTCCTTTAGCGGAAATGCCTGTGTCATCAGCGAACAAAGATTTGTGGCAATCCTGAGGCAAATCAGGGAGGTCCGAAGTGAAAATGTTATACAATATAGGCCCAAGAATGCTACCCTGAGGAACTCCTGCTCTAACAGGTAGTCGATTAGATTTGGAATTTTGATAATTTACCTGCAGAGTTCTGTCAGTTAAATAATTTTGAACTAATTTCATAATGTAAAGTGGAAAATTAAACTTTTTCAATTTAGCAATCAAACCTTCATGCCAAACACTGTCGAATGCTTTTTCTATGTCTAGAAGAGCAACTCCAGTTGAGTGGCCTTCAGATTTGTTTGAACGAATTAAATTGGTAACTCTCAAGAGTTGATGAGTAGTTGAATGCCCATGGCGAAATCCAAACTGCTCATCTGCAAAAATTGAGTTCGTATTGATGTGAAGCATCATTCTATTCAAAATTATTTTTTCAAAAAGTTTACTTATTGAAGAAAGCAAACTTATTGGACGGTAGCTAGAAGCTTCAGCTGGATTTTTATCCGGCTTCAAAATTGGAACAACTTTTGCATTTTTCCATTTATCAGGAAAGTATGCCAAATGGAAACATCTGTTAAATAATTTTACCAAGAAAGACAAGGTACTCTCTGGGAGTTTTTTGATGAGGATATAGAAAATTCCATCATCACCTGGAGCTTTCATATTTTGAAACTTTTTAGTAATATACCTTACTTCGTCCAAATCAGTCCCCCAGGAATCATCAAAAATATTTTCCCGAGAGAAAATATTCAGAAAATCCCGAGCAACCTGATTCTCAATAGGACTAGTAAGACCCAAACTGAAATTATGGGAACTCTCGAATTGCTTAGCAAGTTTCTGAGCTTTTTCCAAATTTGTGATCAAAATTTTACCACCTTCTTTAAGCGCTGGAATTGGCTTTTGAGGTTTTTTCAAAATTTTTGTGAGTTTCCAAAAGGGTTTGGAACTCGGGTCTAATTTAGAAACATTATTTTCAAAAGTTTTGTTCCTCAGGGCAGAGAATCGCTTTTTAATTTGTTTTTGCAAATCCCGCCAGATAACTTTCATGGCAGGATCGCGTGTTCTTTGAAATTGTCTCCTACGGACATTTTTAAGACGGATCAAGAGCTGAAGATCATCGTCTATTATAATTGAATCGAATTTAACCTCGCATTTTGGTACTGAGGCAGCTCTTGCTTCAACTATAGAAGTAGTCAGAGATTCAAGAGCATAATTAATTTCATCTTTGGTTTGCAAAGGAATGTTTGGATCGAAGTTATATTCCATAAATGTTCGATATTGCTCCCAATCAGCCCTATGGTAATTGAAAGTAAAGCTGTTGGGATTAGAAATTATTTCTTGGGATATTTCAAAAGTTACTGGAAGGTGATCAGAACCGAAGTCAGCATGGGTAACCAATTGGCTACAAAGATGACATGAATCAGTTAAGACCAAATCAATAGTTGAGGGATTTCTTGCAGAAGAAAAGCATGTTGGGCTGTTTGGATATTGAATAGTGTAATAACCTGCAGAACAATCATCAAACAGAATATTACCATTGGAATTGCTTTGAGCATTATTCCATGAGCGGTGTTTTGCATTAAAATCACCAATAATGAAGAATTTAGACCTATGACGGGTAAGTTTCTGGAGGTCACCCTTGAGAAAATTCTTTTGCTGGCCTACGCATTGGAATGGCAAATAGGCAGCTATAAACGTAAGTTGTCCAAATTTTGTTTCAACAGAAACTCCCAAAGTTTCAAAAACTTTGGTTTCAAATGAAGAAAGAATTTTATGTTTGATTCGTCTATGAATAATGATGGCAACGCCACCACAGGGTCCATCAAGACGATCATTTCTATAAATCAAGTAATTTGCGTCCTTCTTAACCTTATGGTCAGGTTTAAGGAACGTTTCAGTTATAACGGCAATGTGCACGTTATGAACTCTCAAAAAATTAAATAGCTCGTCTTCATTATCTTTAAGAGATCGAGCGTTCCAATTTAAAATGTTTAATGCTTTAAAATCCATTACTGAATTTTAAAGCCATGACAATATTATTAGCAAATTTTACTCCAGTTTGAATAGCATCAAACATGGAGTTAGATTTAAGCATATCAGAAATCATGTCAATTAATGAATTCTGTAAAAATTCCATTTTAGGGGCAGTAATGCTTCCTAAGTCAAAATTTCCGTTAGAACGTTGGTTAGTATTTTGATTTCTACCGGCTGCAATAGCAGCATAGGTAGCTCCATTAACTCGCTGAACATTGTTAGCAGCGAGGGGAGTAGGTACAGATGAAACATTTGAAGCAGGGGTGATATTTGTACCTACGGATACGAATGTAGAATTTGTTCCTCGCTGACCGTTGTTAACAGCAGAGGAATTTGTACCTGGTCGGAAACGTGGAGCGTTTCCTACCTGACGGTTAGAACGAGATTGTAGGATCGCTTTGCGAGTCTTACATTCCCAAAAATTGGATTTGTGGTTTTCACCACAATTTGAACATTTAAATTTCTTAGGATCTTCCTTCACAGGACAGTCGTCCTTTGCGTGAGAGGAATCACCACAATTCATGCATTTAGCTGGCATGTAGCAATTTTTAGTTCCGTGACCCCATCCCTGGCACTTACGGCACTTAGTGAGGTTTTGGAAATTTACTCCAGTCTTCCTGAAGTGTTCCCACTTCACTCGGACATGGAGCATAAGGCTAGCTTTTTCTAAGGCCTTAAGGTTGTTTAGTTCACTAGACTTGAAGTGAACTAAATAAAAATCATTAGAAATCCCGTTGCGCGAATCGCCAGGACGGGATTTCATTTTCATTTTGATTACTTGGAGTGGCACAACTCCAAGTAATTTTGCAAGTTCATCTTTGATCTGATCCAGGGATTCACCACTGGGCAGTCCTTTCATGACAACCTTGAACACACGTTCAGTTTTGGTGTCGTAAGTAAAAAATTTGTGCTTCTTCTCAGTAAGATACTTGAGAAGACATTTAAATCCGTCCAAGGTTTCAGCCAATACACGGCATTCACCCCGACGTCCAATTTGTAGTGAAAACTTAACTTTCACGAAATTCAAAAGTTCCATGCGAAGAGCATGGAAATCGGTAGTGGTTATCACAATAGGGGGAATCTTTTCTTTCTTGGCATTAAGCCGGGAAAGTTTACTAGAATTTTTCTTGGATGATGGATCATTCTCATCATCCGTGAGCAAATCAAATTGATTACTCAAATTAATTTCATCAGAAGGGGGGTCAAGAGTTTGCCCCTTTCTTTTGCGTTTAGGCGCCATGGTGGCAGTAAATTTTTATCCAAATCGACTTCCAAGCAGATTACTATAAGAATCTGAAGGATCGAAGAGGAATTTTCCAAATCGATATCCAAGAAGGATTACCTCGGGTAGGGTCCAAACAAGGATCGAAGAGGAATAAGAGGAGTTGAACAAGGTAGAAAATTTTTACAGGTTGAGCACTGAAAAGTGCGATTATGCGATTATCCAAATCGACTTCCAAGCAGATTACTATAAGAATCTGAAGGATCGAAGAGGAATTTTCCAAATCGATATCCAAGAAGGATTACCTCGGGTAGGGTCCAAACAAGGATCGAAGAGGAATAAGAGGAGTTGAACAAGGTAGAAAATTTTTACAGGTTGAGCACTGAAAAGTGCTGTTTAAATTTGTTGTAGCTTTAGGTAGTAGTAACACTTCCTTAAGCAAAAAGCAAATAGATCCGCACGGCAAGAGAGCACGATGCGGACTGGATTCGCTTTCATAGTTTTCGGCTGCATTTGCCGGATTAGCGCTGGCACTCTGCCTCCCGGACGGTTATACGTGTGTGAGTGGTGGTTTTCTCGCTTTCCGAGAAGTTTTAGAATCGAGAAAGAAAACACGATTCATCATGTTTGCAAGCAACAGAAGATTTAACGCTATCTGCGTTGTTTGATCTTTTTTTTTTTTTTTTCTCCCGGTCCAGAAATTTGTGGCATCGCGAGTGATAATTTAAATTTTAGTTTATTTACGCGGTGATGATGTTGGTTCACTCGCAAATATTTTTGAAAAAAATAAGTTTTTTCGAACGAAAGTGTACCATAAGTGCTTCTGAACGTGTTGGGTGTGGTGAAATTCGTGCATTCCCGTTTGATTTTGGAAGTCCCTATCACAAAATTGCCCACCGATTCCTTTTTTTTTTTTTTTTTTTTTTTTTTTTTTGCCGTTCGACGACGACGGGTGACGTTTATTGGATTCGTTTCTTTGCACGGGTGTTTTTTTTTTTTTTTTTTTGTAACTAGCGTAAGTGTGCCTGCGATTTGCATCGAGTGTCGGGGATTGTGAGTTAGCTGAAAGATGTCTCGTTGGATATGCCCAAGTCTGAACGGGTGGTAGCTGGTGGCCGTGAACGGTTCCTGGGGAAAGCACTAGATGCGAACCTCCTCCCAGATCACCATGGCAATACAGGAAGTATCACAACAAAGGTAATTGCTATTAGATATTTTGCAAACAGTGACAGATAGCGGTCATGAAGAACCAGTGGAGGTGCCGGACAAAGGTGTTTATCCTAGACAAATGGTAAGTTACAAATTCTCTGTTGTCGTTGTCGTAGGCGCCGTCGTAGTCGCTGTCGTAATCGCCGTCGTAGTCGTAGGCAGTACCGTTAGTATATTTAAAATTAAAGATCAACCACTGAAAATATGAATTATCGCGTATTTCTGTTGTTCATTACATTCCAAGTGAAATTCGAGAACGTAATTTCATTTGAATAGCTTGTTCAACCAGGTCTTAAACAATCGTCACGTCAGTCATAGCTTGTTATGATTGTCTGAACCCGTAAAGAGAAAATCGAAACATTGAACGTCGCGTGAAAGTGGATCTTAATGAAGGCCTAAGTACTCTTTCGTAGCTTTTAGTTTTAGGATTTCAAAGATCGTCGGTTGCAGTGGCCAATTTAAAATCGTTAGTTTCCATCCGTTGCTAATACTAGCGCTGGTAGAGAACTCTGTTAGCATTTTCTTAGCATCACGCACACATATGACGTGATCTTTTGTATACATTTATTTTTTGCTTGCTGTTCTCAGCGTTGTCAGAATGTTTTTAAACTTATCGGTATCAAAGATTTTAAAAAAGATCGGTAATTATCGGTCATTAGGAGAAAATTTAAGCATGTTGGACATGTTGAACGGCCTATCCAGGAAAGTCGGAAGAAATTTCCGTGGAATGTTTGAATTAGCTTCTGAAGGAAGCCGAAAAATTTCCAGAAAAAGCAAAGGTTGGTGAAAGTTCTAAAAGAATTCGGAAAATCATCCAAAGAACTTCTAAGAAAAATATTGAGAAACTTCTGAGCCAAATTTAAAGAAACTTTCGGAAAAAATCGGATCACACATCCAAAGGAAGCCAAAATGGATTCGGAAATCGGAAGAAAATTTCAGGAGTACTTCCCCAGGAAATGGTTCCAGGGGAAGCTCAGAAAAACCTTCTAATAGAAGTTGTAAAAAAATCCTCTGGAAGAAGTTAATTGAGAAACTTTCAGAGAAAGATGAAAGAAGCTTATAGGAGAATTCGATAGATACTTCCGGTAGAAGTTTAAAGGAACTTCCTGGAGAAGGTGAAAAAACTTCCTGGAGACGATGGGAGATACTTCATGTTGTAGTTTGGAATAACTTCTGAAGAAAATCGGAAGCTTCTTCCAGCGGAAGCCAGAGGGTATTCGGGACAGTCGAAAGAAACTTCTAGGAGGTTGGGGAAATTTCCGAAAGAAAAAGAGATTTCTAGGGGAGTCCATAGAACCTTTCAAAGGAAGTCAGAACAAGCGGGGGAGGTCAATATAACCAACAATCAATACGAAACTAACGATTTTAAATTGGCTCACCACTTTAGTAGCCTATTGGTCCCAAGCAAACGATTAACGTACCCTATTCTAGTTGAAATTCTATTATTACACTATGTTTGTTTTGATTCGCTATGAAAGTTTGACAGATAACATCAGGGGTGTGTGGATTCATGCAGAACATGCAGGGGTGAGTGAAATAGCTTGGGACTGCTTGGGACCGTTGATCTGGTACTGAGTGAGCCAAAAATAATAATGATTTTCTTCGGGACCCAGTGGCCTTAGAGTTACCTCTATGGTAATACTGAGCTATTAGGGTGTTCAACACGGATGAGGCGAGCTGTATGTTGTTTGGAATGAGGGTGACACGCTTGACATAGATGGCCCACAGCGACTCACAAAGAGCTACTGTTTCCGATCAGTAGCGGAGTGGCTTCTTCCTCCTTCTTCGGTGAATGAACGCTTCTGTGAGAACAATGTTCAATGTCACGCGCCGAAAGCACTGCTGATGCTGCTGATGATAACGACCGACCGGACACTACCACACGCGGTGATTGAATAAGTGCGCTGAACAGACCGGATGGAATTCGATTTTGAAATCTGTGTTAGGGAAAGCACTTTTTGCAGGCATCGTTAATAATTTTGATCACCATTGCAACAGTTGGCAATTTGTGTGACCTGATAATTGATAAAGTGTTCATTTTAGCAGATTTGTAGAAAAATTTACAATCGATTGGCTTGTTAAGAATTAAAATCCATCCGCTATTGACAAAACATGACCACTTTTCGTAACGCGGCCGAAAGACGTAATCCTAAGTCAAACAAAATCCAATTCCTTTTCACTCAAATCAATTTGACGCGTTACCTAGGCACTACAAGTTTTTCCAATTTTTTTGAAGATGTCTTATTAATCCAAAAAGAATCTCGACTATTTGCCGAGGGGAATCGAACTTGCCGCTTGCAGCATGGTATGCGCGCGTCTTTTTGCTTTCCGCTGATGCTTAGCTTGGCCAGGACCTCTAGATATGACCAAAATTCTGTAATGTCACAAGCATCTCCATAAAGTTGGCTCGATTAATAACTTATGTTCTGATTAGAGAGCGAGATCGCATATTTTTTGGATTGTCTTCCTGAAACTTGGAACTGTTTTCAAAGCTAGTTTCACATTCTGCACATATTAACCGATCAAAACTATCACTTACAGCTTCTTCCTTCTTGGCACAAATCTCAAATATCCGGTTTGGCAAAGATATCTAACACTTCCAACTCCAATAAGATCTATCCTCGACTGATACAGCACCAACAGTGAATCGATTCCCAACCACTGGGGCACTTATATATCGACGCGTACGAGTACTAAATGACCTGCTCAGCTGAACCCCTTCCTTATCGCATTCCCCTCCTCCACGGCGGTATTCTGATTAGTCCTTTTTTCCTTTAAGACACTTGAGACGAGCAGCGCATCCGAAAAATTATCACGTCTTTCAAACGTGCATCACTGAAACAACAAACATCAACCCTACATGTTCCTTCATGCCGGGTGCGTCAGCATCAAAGTCAATCAATTAAATTGAATCAAATTTAAAATTATGTAAATCAACAGGCACGGTTCAACTCATACCCATAGGTGCTGGCTAGGATGCGTGATATGTGTACGGAAGAAACCGATAACAACAACAAACGAGGAAACAAGATGATCCTATTTTGGTTTCGTGATTGGAAGGCAAAGGGGGATAGCACCTATCCCTATCATTATCCCACGTTAACATCTGCGAAATCTCTAGCCTAGACGCAAAACAAAGGAGCTAAATTACATGTTTTGATACCATGTGTTTGATGCCGTGGGGAAAATCAAAGCTTTTGTAGGTAGTGAAAATCAAGACTCATGTGTAGGAGATCTTTTAGAAAAGCCGGGTAGGGGAAACGACGGCTTCGGCAATACCTTTCCCTATTATCGTTAGTCAGAGTTCAATTTTGAACAAGCGATGTACTGCACTCATGCTAAAAACGAACACTCAAAGATTTAATTTACTTTACCCTGACGATAATAGATAAAGGTATTTTCGAAGCCAGCATTTACCCTATATTAATTAAATGTGACGTGAATGCTCAAAATCAGGGATACAGAAGCTGACGTGCTTGTAGTGTAGGGTGCCGATGAGATCTGCGTTGCTTACTCAAAGAAAAATAAATGCGAATAGGTATTATTCGACAATTTATGTCATTGATCACACCTATTAAAACGATATCGTAATGCTTTTTAAACATGACATAACTATGATTCAGTTTAAATAAAATGATCTCTTTTTTATATAAGATGAATACCGATTGGAAACATTTTGCTACCCTATCATCCGTATACTAGGTACTTACCATTGGTGTTTATGTGTGTACAATGCGTGCATAATTTGAAGGTCATCGATGAAACTAGATAGTTATATCAACCGGTGGAAACTAACGATTTTAAATTGGCTCACTACTTCACTAGCCTATTGGTCCCAAGCAAATCGATTAACGTACCCCATTCTTGTATAAATTCCAGTACTACCAACAATCAATACGAAACTAACGATTTTAAATTGGCTCACCACTTTAGTAGCCTATTGGTCCCAAGCAAACGATTAACGTACCCTATTCTAGTCGAAATTCTAGTACTACGCAATGTTTGTTTTGATTCGCTATGAAATTTTGACAGATAAAATGAGGGGTTATTGGTTTTTCCTATGTTTCGAGGGGTGATTCGACAAGCTTGGGACCGAAGATAGTACCAGAGGTGAGCCAAAAAGTTGAGCACGTTTCTTCGGGACCTACTTGTCTTAGAGTTACCTCTATGGTACTACACCATGTTTGTTTTGATTCGCTATGAAATTTTGACAGATAAAATGAGGGGTTTCCTATGTTTCGAGGGGTGAATCGATTGGCTTGGGACCGAAGGTAGTACCAGAGCTGAGCCAAAAAGTTGAGCACGTTTCTTCGGGACCTACTAGTCTTAGAGTTACCTCTATGGTTATATGGCTCATAAATTGACGCTTTTCGACTCAATTCTAGATGCTCAAGAAATCTCACACTAGCGAATCAATCTTCGAAAAATCATCTTTCTTTTCTCGCGTCTACTTGCATCCGGCTTCATCTTTTTGCAGGAAATCTTCAAAATCGACATAAATCTTCCTTTTATCTACTCAGCGTGCGTGCAGCTAGCCACAGCAAAACACATTTTTTTTCTGCATCGTAGATACAGTCGTCCCCCTCGGTAAAACCGGTGAACACTCGTGTTTATTTCAGTTACCATGGAGACGTAATTTGTGATTAGCCCCGGTCCCTTTCAAATTGTATCATTATTTATGAACGGCCTTATATTTGAAATGACGTTTCACATTCATCTAGTGATGTCCGATTTTCATTCGAATAATCGTTTAATCGATTAACGAACCGAAAAGTAAACTATTTATAATCGGTTAGATCATGCCGATATAGGCATTAACATCTCCAAAGGATCATCACCGATTGTTTCAAACATGTGCTGCACTCTCATTGGTAGAAAAATGGCAGCACAGCGAACAAAAAATAATCGATTAGTTGTTAATCGAGTAATTAAAAAACGGGACATCTCTGATTTTGATATGATTGTTTTGATAGAAATGAGCGCAAAATTTCATCTCTTCCAAGGGGGCAGCAAAACCACAAAATTACCTTGAATAGGGGGGTTCTCATTGGATGAAAGGGACCGTGAAAGAAGACACTAAAATAGAAAGTTTTTCTTCCGACAGTTTCATCTTAGTATTCATCTTTGGTAAAACCATACTGACTCGATTAGTGTGAAGGATTCTAGGGGAAGTACAACTTGATCTGAAGTAATATTTAATGTAAAAAATGCTCCAATTGGTAGTTATTATAATTTTTAATATAAATATTTATGATATTAACTGTCAAGCGGAAAGCTTCAAAGTAAAAAAATAACAGTGTAACTTTAACGCATATACTCAATGACGTTGCACCATTGTTGTCTATGTATACTGCAGCTTTCTGTTTGTCATAATTTTTGCCTAGATTTTCGTTTTCGATAGCTCTGATCGATTTCGACTTCGGCTTTTCATGATAAAAACGGTACTGGACGTTCCCCCGGCAACAAATCTCTCCAAGTTACATGCTCATGGCGAATCGAGCGTAATACGACCACGGAACCATCACTCTGGAATTCCGTTAACAGGGGCGGCGTTGTCAATCGATTATCGTTCCATCGGAGAACAGCACATTGGTTCACAGCTTGAGCTTGAGCTTGAGTTTGATTGACCGCCCACGGTTGCTACTCTGTTATTGCCAGATCAGCTGTAATTACACAGAGAACCAATAGACGATGCTTGGGACTAGCAATCATCCTCAATGTGTAAAAACTGGTGATCTTAAATTAGGCAATACCAGCGCCGGCCGCGCCCGAACACAGGTCAAGAAAGGAATGGGAAGGATTGTGTTGACATGATACTCGCTTTGATGGAAGCCGAGAACACCTCTGTACTTCCACGAGGAATCACTGGGATGTTGGATAAGAGGGTTGGGTTTGCAGCAGGGTTCGTTTTGGTAAACGATAAGCTGAATTGATGTCCTAACGATCATATAACGCGAAGGAGTTTGGGACTAAACCCACGGTCTTCTGCTCAGTAAGCAAAAACGTTTGCCACTAGGCAGACGAGCACCTTTTTAATCACCGAGTTTCTGTTATTACCATGTAGTCATATTAACAAATAAAACGATTGACGAATCTTGAATGTGGAAGGGCCTGAGATTAGACTCATGATGTTCTGCTCAGTAAGCAAAAACGGTTGCTCTTAGGCCACCGAGCCCCTCATATCACATAATACCGTTGCTCAAATTTTTGTATCCATTCAAACCCGGAACCAACGACAACAACGAGTTTCGCAAAATACACGATACACAAGCGATTTTACCAGAAATCTCCTTGATATGTAAGGACCTGGGACCGCGTTTTTCTGCTCAGTAAGCAGGCCACTGTAACCGACTATCTTTCAAATCCGAAAACTAAAAACTACGAAAAAGTACTTAGGCCTTCATTAAGTTCCACTTTCACCTAGGGGAAGGACAGGTCCAAGTATCAGCATCAATATCGATGGTGGAAATATCAAATATTTTAATATGTGTGATATTTGCGAATCTTATGCTTAGTCTGATAGTTGTTTTTTTTTTTTTTTTGACTATTTTTGGTTTGAAGTGTACATTTGACATTCGTTTAATAAAAAATGGATTTCACACCAGAGGAAAGTCATTCTTTGATGATCTTGCTGGCCACCGACACCAAAATCCGCTCCTTGTTCTAAAAAATTCGGCATTATTTGTTAGCTGATCTCAGTGCACATAATCGGTCGCACTTCTGTCCCAGAAAATGGTCATTAATTTCCACGAATTCTCCATCGTCTGCGAACCAATGTGCTGTCCTCCGATGGAACAGGAATCGACTGACTACGCCTCCCATGTACACGGAGTCCCAGAGTGATGGTTCCGTGGTCGTATTACACTCGATTTGCCATGAGCCTGCAACTGGCAAAATTTGCTGCTAGGGGAACATCCAGTACCGTTTTTATCATGAAAAGTCGAAGTCGAAATCGATCAGAGCTATCCAAAACGAAAATCTAGGCAAACATGAAAGCTGCTGTAAACATAAACAACAACGGTGAAACGTCATTGAGTGTATGTGTTAAAGTTACACTGTTTTTTTTTTTTTACTTTGAAGCTGTCCGCTTGACAGTTAATATCATTAATATTTATACTAAAAATTATAATAATTACCAATTTGAGCAATTTTTACACAAAATATTACTTCAGATCAAGTTGTACTTCCCCTAGACTTTCACGCGACGTTCAATGTTTCAATTTGCTCTTTACGTATTGTTCAGGCTAGGCCCTTTTCAAAAGTTACGCGAGAAATACGCACAATCGTCGCCTACCTCGCAAAACTGGTTCCAAACGACAACAAAGGCACCTACTGAAACCTGACCGTAGGCCTATGCTAGAGCGTATAGCATAACGACCTTCTTCCACTAGCAGGTCTGTTTCTGTTTGCACAGACAGTCCCACTAGTTTCCGATACATTTATAGGGGATAGTAGGAGATTAAAAGAATGGAGAAGAGTTATAGAGGTTTTTTTTTTGTTGTTGTTTTGCTGAAAAGAGAGAAACAGAACTATACGAAGTTACACCTGCTGAAAAAAATATAAGTCTATTATTTTGGTTAGTGATCGTTTGGATTTGGGTCACCCCACGTTGTGTTTAGGTTAGTATAAA